TTCACTAATTGCAAATCTTAAATTGAAGGACTAATTTCTTATATTGAATTCATCCTGTGCTCCCATTAGAGATAAGCATCATAGAAAAATAGTAATATTATGGTAACACTATTTTATTTCCATAGTAACTTCAGTTAAGGAGCATAAAATGCCCTATAGTCATTATCTAAATAATCCTCTTGACAAACCTAGTAGATAGGTACTGTGATTTGAATGTTTGTGCCCTCCAAAACTCATGTTGAAATTTAATTGCCATTGTAACAACATTAAGCGGTGGGATCTTTAATAGGTGATTAGGTCATGAGGGATCCAAGATCCACAGTCATGGGAGGGTTTAATGCCTTAAAAAAGAGCTTTCTGGCCTGATCATGCCTCTCCCTTCCTCTCTCCACCCTCCCCTCCCCCAGTTCCTGACTCTTCCCTCTGCCTTCTGGCTTGTAATGAAGCAGTAAAAATACCCTTGACTAATGCTGGAAACTTGATCTTGGATTCCCAGCCTCCAGAACTAAGAGAAAACAAATTTCTGTTAATTATAAATTATCTAGCACCATATATTCTGGTATAGAAGTGCAAACATGGACTAACATAGTAGGACAAAAGCTAAACAGTATAGGAATTGATTTAATTTTAGCTATGATTAGAGTTTTTCTGATGGAGTCAAACTCATCAGTTAATAGTTGCTGGCCAAATAATAAATGAAAGTTTACAATTTGCAAGTCATTTCTATGGGAAACTGACTTGCTGTTATGACATTCATATTTTAAATGTATTTTGTATGTTAAAGTCTTCTTCCAGTCAGTGAAATTTTTTTTAAATAGCAGTAGAAATTTTATAAAATTTATATTATACATATACTATCACCAGTTTTACGCTCCTGGTTTATGTTATTTCAAGAGATGTGGAGTCCATCCAGAACCAGAACATCGTTCCCATTGTCCAGCCTAATGAAAATTCTTTTCCAGAATGTTCTAAGGTTATGGAGAATTAGCTTGCCCTTTCCCCAAGGTTTTAGGGAGCTAAGCTATATTTTAAGGAGATAACCAGTTGTGCACAATGAGAGGCTAGACCATCTATTGCTAACCACCTTCCCAAAATAAGCACTCCCAACATACAACATATTAAACAGCTACTTCTGAAAACATGACATATACCATGTTATGAAAATAGCTTACAAATAATTTTGACAAGTACCTGTTGATCACTATTTATATGCCAGGTATTCTATTAAATGCTTAGCTATATTGGATCATAATCTATACAAATTTTCATGAATTTCTTTGGGTATTTAATTTTATAGAGTTTAACCAGGTGTTACCCTAAACTTTAGTAGTATTTCTATACAATTTTAAATATAGAATCAGAACCCATACTGAATTATACTAAGATATTGAAGTTGCTGGAATATGTTATTTAACACGTTCATCAAGCATAGATACTCTGTTTCCTAAATATCTAATTTGCACAAGTTTTCCATTTGATAGAACCAGTGATGCTCTCAAAATTAACGTGAGGTTTTGGGGAAGTGCATACTCTGTTTTCCAACTTTCCCCAGATTCAGCAGCAGTTGCTGAATTTGTAGAAGATCTTATCTTCAGTCTTATTCCTACAAAGGCTAATGGCAGCTTTGTCTGCTCTGATAGGAAGCTCTTTATTTCTAAACTTGCTAGAGGCCATATACCTACAAAATAAACCCTGGCCTGGTCTGCTTTTCATAAGAGTGATGTATACTGCAAACATTATGGGGGTGTGATGGGTTTGTAAGGAACATCTAAGTTCTTTAGTGATTATATTAATTTTCTTCTCTCTCCCTCTCTCTCTCTTTCTCTCTCTCTCTCTCTCTCTGGGCTAGAGAGATATTTTATGGTCCCTATTCCATGTGTTAAATGAGTCTACTCAAGTACTGAATTCCAGTCTCCTCTCATTACAATTCTGTAATTAAAAACTTTAAAAAGTTACATTTTCTTACCTAATCCTCAAAACACAGAGATGTGTTAAAGCCACAAATGCTCTAGAGCTATGCTGTTCAGTTTAGAAGCCACTAGGCACATGTGACTATCGAGCATATGAAATATGGCTAGTCCAAGTTATGTTATAACTGTTAAGATGTGTCAGAAGACCTAAATACATACCATACTTTCAAGACTTCGTGTGGAAAAAAATGTAAATTATGTCATTAATACATTTTGAAATTATATTTTGGACACAGTAGGCTAAACCATATTATTAAAGTAATTTCACATTTATTTTTTAATGTGGCTACAAGCAATTAAAAATGAGATATATGGTTCCTATATTTGCATTAGACAGCACTGCTCTAAAAACTGCAAAGCCTCTGATACTGGAAAGAATATCAGGCTTTTTGTTTAGAATTACATGAGATACTTGAGTGCTTTTTGTTTGTGTTTGTTTGTTTTTTCATAAAACTTTTATATGTTGTGAACTAGATAAATAGAGACCAGATGGTTGCCTGAAAATTAGAAGCACAGTTGGCCTTGTACAGAAGCAAGCTAAAAGGGGTAATTAGACCACGGTCAAAAGACTGAACAAAGTTAAAAGAAAAAAAAAAAAAAAAGAACAGGACCAAGGTAAATTAAATCAATGAAATTATATCAGTGTCTAGGATGATAACATGCAATGAGGGAGACAACAGTAGATACAGACAGGGAAGGACATGACAGTATGGGGATGTTCATAATGACAGGGCCGGATAACCTCATGCCTTAGGGGTGAGACAATAGGAAAGAAGTTAGGTAGAGCTGCTAAAATCAGTTACCTGATTACGGATCTTGGATCTATCTGGTCAAGATGTAACTCTCTTCCCATCCCTGAGAACCATACTGTGAAATAGACATAAATATAGTGAACTCCATTAAACTTGGATGGTCTTATTACAAACCATCATTGATGTGATGAGCTAAGTTCTTTGTTATTTCCACTGTGCCCATGAAGAAACTGAGGTTCAGAGTAACTTGTTGAAATTGCAAAGCTAGTAAGGGACAAAGTTAGATTTTAACACAGTTCTATTTTATTCTAAATCTCATTGTTATCTTTTGTGTTCTTCCTCCTCTTTAGAAGAAGATATGCTTTCTGCCTTTTAGTAGCTCTCTGCCTAATGAAGAAATATTTAATTTGTTATCGTAAATTTTAAATTATGTATGTGTTAAAATCTGGACTCAATATGTCCTTTTTGGTTTGTTTGCTGTGCTTTTAGAGATATGCGGGTTTGACTGTGTTATTTTAAAATGTGCTGGGTATGGGAACTGTTCTAGTGTAATTTTTATTCAGAGAAGTTTGCTGCCTTGTCTTTGTGTAGCAACAGAAGATCTTAAAAGACCCATATGTGTGATCAGATTGGTCTAAGGAGCATTAATGGTGTCTGTGGTTTAGAGCAAAATGGTTCTTATTACGGTATTTGGGGTTGATTGCTCAGTTCACCAAATGAATTGCTTCAATTGTGTCTCCTCCTTGCTTTATTTTTTTTTTTTTGTCATTTCTGAGTTTATTTTGACCAGATTTTGTTCTCACTTTACCTGATCTTAATTATAAAGAACAGGGTCTAACTCAATTCTGTAATTTCATTATTTAACCTAGTACCCAGCATATAGGTGATGCATTGTCATCCATTTATGATATTAATACAGTTCTATTCAGTGAGCTTTCAACAAATATAAATTGGGTACCTTTTTATGGGCTACCTCTACAGTTTACCTCTATGAGATATAATAATGCATATGGCCGCATGCCATTTTTATAATCTGGCGGAACACAGTTACACATCAATGTGATAAACCTTGCCTGCGTGTAAACACAGGGTCTTATGGAAACATCTTAGGAAGACACTTCACCGGGTTGGGTGAATGAATGTAAAGATTTCCAGAGAAAGTGATATTTGAGCTGACAGCTGGAGGAAATCAGTAAGCAGGAAGAATGGGTTAGGGATCTGGTAGAAGAGGAAGGGCATTCCTAGCAGAAGGAAGAGGAAATATGGAAACATTGTAGATCTGTAATTTGTTCAGTCTCAGTTTGGTTGGAGGGTATAATTGGCAGACAGGAGAGTAACAGGAGTATGAAGAGGGAAGAGATTAAGAAAAAATGTTAATCAATGTTGAAGGAATCATTTTAAAAAGCAATACAATTCATTGTGAATTTTTGAGATGATTCATTTACAGTATAAATTTTGATCATTTTGTCTTATAATTTTTTTTAATTCAAAAGATGGATTTCAACCTGATAATATTAGAGACTTCATATTCATATGCATATTTATCATATATCCACTTCATTAAAATTCTACAATCTGCCCCATACTTATCATTAGGGACATTTACCTCATGATAAATCGGCTTCATTAGTAGTGGTTTGAGGCATTATTATTTATTAATCTATGATGGTTATAAAGAATCTATTAATTCATTTATCCAGGAACAATTACATTAAATCCCCAATACTTTCTAATTCTTCTAATGAGGCAGAAAATAGTGCATTTTTTCTATTCTTTTAATGCTTGGTTGTTACTTTTAAATGAAGGCTAAAATTAATTAAATTTGTTAATTTGGTCAATCAGTTTATACATTTGGCAGGACGCAATAGTTTTGAGTAAAAGGATTGCATGATGATGCCTACGGAAACCCCTGTTTTAAGTCTCAGTCCTTTGGCAAATATATTGTTTTCTTTCATTGGTCAGTTAGGCTCTCTCTGCTTCATGTGATCAAACTTCAAAACTGGCATAACATCGTCTATGGGTGTGGCTTATAAGGATCAATGACCTTATAAGTGACCTTTCTCTTGGGGTTAGAAGACTAATAAAAATATCAGCACTTCTCTTGCTTGATGGAGTTGAAAGGGAAATGGAGAGATTAATGAAGAGACTGACGGGCATTAGAACGAACAAATGGAGTAAGTTTCCTCTCGGGCTCCATTTCTCCCTCTATAAACATTTATTGGGCAGCTACTATAAAATCAAATATTGTAACAATGTCAGAAGGAAACAGTCGTTACATACACTCCTTTATTATTGTGAACTGAAACCAGATTTCAGAGTTTTAAAAATTATTCAAGAATATTCAGTGCATGCAGTCGTGAAATTTGACTGTAAAAGAGGTACGGGCATTTAGCTCTTCACTTAAACTGTGTCATAAAGCCAGTACAAGAGATTTACCTTCCCACCCTCCCGTAATCTTTTTGCAATCACTGCTCGCAGGCCAACATTTGTTATGATTTCAGATTAGGAGCCTGGCATCTTTGCTTTAATCAAAACCTATTCTCCCTTCTCTGCTCCTCCACTCCTTACCTTAATGAGAATGTAAAACACTAGTTTTGCCGGGGAGAGAGGCAAGGAAGGAAGGAAGAGAAGAAGGAAGGGAGGGAGGAAAAGACTGGGCACTGACCCAAAGAGGGAGCGAAATGAACTAAGGAGAGCGCTGTCTTTTTTCTTGCGCTTGTTTTAGGCGCTCCCTGCCCGCCTCTCCCCGCCGACCGCGGAGCTGCACCTCTAGCTTGCTCGGCCCTCGGCCCCGCCCCCTAGCGTCGGAGCCCGGGAGCCTATCTCTTTAAATGACAGCTGAGGCTCGGGTCCCAGTCCGGGGCTTGACGTCAGTGCCGCCTCCCGGGCTGCGAGGAGTAGTTAGCGCCACCGTCGGCACTCGGGCCTCGGTGCGCACTCGCTAGCCGCCGGGGCGGCGAGTTTTCTGTGCTTCTACCCCTCCTCCCTCCCTCCCCGCGGAGAGTCGAGCGGCAGCCCTAGAGCCTCTCCCAAGTCTCTCTCACACTTCCCCCCCCTCTCCCCAAAGGAGCAGCCGCTCCTTCTTGCCTCTCCACTGCCGCCGCCGCACCCGCGGAGCTCCTCTCCCGCGCGTCTCTCCTCCGATGAAGCTCGGGAGCCGCCGACGCCGCCGCTGCCCCGAGCCCTGAGTGGGGCCGCCCCAGCCGGAGGCGCCGCCCCGCCCGAGGGCGCAGAGCGCCAAGGAGCACGCGGAGGGCTTGGGGCAAGGGCTCGGAGAACGAGAAAGTGCTGCTCCTCGGGTCACTGGGCCGGCGGCCGGGGGACTATGGCTCTGAAGGACACGGGCAGCGGCGGCAGCACCATCCTGCCCATTAGCGAGATGGTCTCCTCGTCCAGCTCGCCCGGCGCGTCGGCCGCTGCCGCCCCGGGGCCCTGCGCACCCTCGCCCTTCCCCGAAGTAGTGGAGCTGAACGTAGGCGGCCAGGTCTATGTGACCAAGCACTCGACGCTGCTCAGCGTCCCGGACAGCACTTTGGCCAGCATGTTCTCACCCTCTAGTCCCCGGGGCGGCGCCCGGCGCCGGGGCGAGCTGCCCAGGGACAGCCGGGCGCGCTTCTTCATCGACCGGGACGGCTTCCTCTTCAGGTACGTGCTGGATTATCTGCGGGACAAGCAGCTCGCGCTGCCGGAGCACTTCCCCGAGAAGGAGCGGCTCCTGCGCGAGGCCGAGTATTTCCAGCTCACCGACTTGGTCAAGCTGCTGTCGCCCAAGGTCACCAAGCAGAACTCGCTCAACGACGAGGGCTGCCAGAGCGACCTGGAGGACAACGTCTCGCAGGGCAGCAGCGACGCGTTGCTGGTGCGCGGGGCGGCGGCCGCCGTGCCCTCGGGCCCGGGAGCGCACGGTGGTGGCGGCGGTGGCGGCGGCGGCAGCGCGCCGGACAAGCGCTCGGGCTTCCTCACGCTGGGCTACCGGGGCTCCTACACCACCGTGCGCGACAACCAGGCCGACGCCAAGTTCCGGCGCGTGGCGCGCATCATGGTGTGTGGGCGCATCGCGCTGGCCAAGGAGGTCTTCGGGGACACGCTCAACGAGAGCCGCGACCCCGACCGGCAGCCGGAGAAGTACACTTCCCGCTTCTACCTCAAGTTCACCTACTTGGAGCAGGCCTTCGATCGCCTGTCAGAGGCCGGCTTCCACATGGTGGCGTGTAACTCCTCGGGCACCGCCGCCTTCGTCAACCAGTACCGCGACGACAAGATCTGGAGCAGCTACACCGAGTACATTTTCTTCCGTAAGTTCGCAGCCCCGGCGTTTCTCAGCACCCCTCCCCCACCGCCGGTTCGAGGCCCGCTGGATCCCCGAAGGGGTGTCTGGGGCAGAAGCTGGTTAACACCTTAGAGTGAGCGGCTCTCCCGGCACAACTCCCTTAGGCAGTAGACCCGATTTACGTTTCTCCCCTTTGGATATTTCCGTCTCTACTCCCCCTTTCTAGAACTCAGTCGCACCCAGCTCCCAGGCGTCTACTGCCTGAACTTTTTTGATCTTGCTTTCTTGCCCCAGCCGGCTCCGGATGCCCGGGGGCTCCTCTGTTGCGGAGAACAGGGTAGGAGAGACTGGGGCACAGAGACCCTCCTCCACATCTTTCGCAGGACTCCTGGGGGTCTTTTCACGTGGCCTTCAGTGGTGTCCCTGCAGAGGGCAGGATGGCATCACAAGGCGTTGCCCTCGCACCGCCTGGATCACCTGCTATTGGTACGGCTGCAGCGCTCCAGTTAGGGTGGTTTTTCTAGGGGGTAGGGGAGAATTGTTGAAGGTACCTCCAGAGCCCCTCGAGGGGACCGGAGATCAGGAAAGCAGCTGTGGGGAAAGGGGACTCCTTGACAGATGGAAACCCAAATTTCCCAGCGTCATTTATCTCCAATGTGATTGTCCAGTGTTTGGGACAGGGAAGGGTGGAAGGAATTAGAAAGTTTGGGTGCCTTAGTGCTGCCCTTAGGGCTGGAGATTAGGACAGGGTGAGTGTGGTGGGAGGGAAGGAGGTGGGGAGGGAGGGAAGACAGGGAGGGAATGGTTGTGTTTTCTTCTTGAGTGCGAAATCCAGGGCTGAGCCTACTTTCTCAGGGTAAATAGAGTGATATTCTGAAATGAGAGCGTGAGGGAATAGATTTGGGAAAGCATCCGGGATGCGTTTTGCAGTGCGCTTCCGGAGCGGGCTACTTGGAGTTCAAGACTCTACCGAATATCACTATCTGAACCTGCACTGGGAGTTGGGGATGGGGTGGGGCTGTGGTGGGCACAATTCTCAGTGACATTTGTAAAGTGAAAAGGCAATGACTAGAGAGCGATTTGGACAAATGAAAAGCCAGCTGGGATGGCAGCAGGAACATTGTTTGGCAAAACGTTTTTCCTTTGGCCAGACACAAGTAAAAAACCTGCCTCTAGCGTTAGGGAGAGTAGCCTTGAAATCCTGTGATGAAAACAGACCAGGTTAAATTGTATTTATTTATTTTGGTAATTCAGTCACTACAGTAATTGGAAACTGAACAATTTTCTGGACTTTATTTTGACTGGAGAAGTGGAAGGGACCTCTCCTTGCACAGGTGCAAGCTTAACTGGAAGGTTGGCTTAGTGTTTGTATATTCTGGTAACTTGGAGGTTGGGTGACAAACCACAGCACATAGATTCTTAGAGTTAGACTAGATTCTTAGAGTTAGACTGCTTTGTAAAGTAGTGCTGGATTCTTGAGAAAACAGTTTCAACAGAGAAGCAAAAATGAAGTGTCTGTCCACTGAATTGGTAGTTAAAAACCTGTCAATTATATCAAAGTGTTACTTGTTACACAATAAAAAGATTAATGGTCAGAAAAGCCACCCAAGGGAAGATATTTTATTGCTTCTATAAAATTGACACCTCTCTAATATATATTGTGTAATTAAGTATTTTAGCACCATTCTTTACATTTTACTCCTTATCATTGTGACCTTTGTCAACAGCTTTTTAGATTTTAAACCATTTAATTCATTTCAATGTAGATTTCCAAGCCTGTCGGAAGATGAGGTAAAATGAACTTTTGGCTTTCTTGTAGTGTTTTTTGTTAGAGAAGATATCAGTATGAATGTTCTGCACAGTTAAGTTTGTGAAATTTTGAAAATCTTTCTTGGTTTTGGTCTTTCTTAATCCTCTAGAAAGATGTTGACACGAAAATGATTCTTACTTTGGTTATGAAGACATAATACAAGTTCTCTCTACATTAGAAAAAAATGCCCTTAGTGTATCGAAACTGGAAACTTAACTAATTTAACTAATGAGATAATTTTGAGAGATATTTGAAATTCAGGATCTGTTTCACTTGTAGAGCTAGAGAAGTGTTAAATAAAATATTCATATTATGAATAACTACTTTCAGAGTACTCACATTATTAATGACCTCTGAAATTCATTCATAAAATTCCCAGAAATCTAAGGAGGCAACCTACTTTGGGAAAGAATATGCAATTCCAGATTAAATATTGTTTTTTTGAAGTGGTAAGCTAGTCATTGGTCAACCAAATAGAGTTGTCATTTTAAATTTTGGATGTAAAACTTGTCTTGAATATTAGAATACATATATTTATTTTTTTTTGCAGCTTTCATTATATTTCTTACACAATATTTTGAATGGGATTCCTTTTAATATTTGGTGAATGAAAATACACTGTAAAATATTTGTATTTCCATCCTATTCAGTTTAGTTAATGACAATGTATTTATCTTATTTCGCAAGTCTCTATTTAAAAAGGTTATTACTGTTATTCATAAGAGCAAAATTACTGGATGACCTTGTTTGTCCACTTATGTTTTAGATGCAGAAAATAACCTTAATATCTTTTATTTCCCCTGTTGACACACTTTTTTTCAGAAAATACTTATTTGTTGTATGACATTTATTTAGTGTATGACAAGTATCAGTCATTTTAACACCTTTTAAAACCCGGGTTACATGTGATCTTAGTAGTTTGAAACTGTTGTAGTTTATACACCTGAGCATCAATTTTAATTCCTCCCAACCCCCACCATCCCTGCCACTCCTGAGTTTCTGCACTAGAGGGAAGAAAGTGGCAAATGGGTCAGTAATCCCAGACACTGTGATTTTCCAAATGAGTGACCTTGGTTAAATTATGTACTTGATCTCTTAGTTTCCTCATCCATATTATAGAATTTATCACAGTACCAGTTTTATAGGATTTGAGAATATACATATAGTGCCGTATGTGACTTATAATAAAAAGCTTAACAAATGTTAGCTGTTACTACTGTAAGTAGCATGTTGCTATCCTTATTATTATTGTCAACATTAAATTTTAATTTTGTTTTATATTAAGTATAGCTAATTGTATAGTTAATAGAAAATCACTTTGCAATTAAGTGATAGCATACTATACTTTCAGAATTATGAAATAACCAATAAAATAATGGATTTCTTTCCTTGAATATTGAAATTGAATTTTTCAGGCCAAGTCACTGAAGGTTGCTATTCATACCCCAATTGGTTTTTCTGGATTGACTTCAACAGAACCCATTTCCTATTCAGGGCCAAGAAGTGTTTTAGCACTAGGACTTGAAACTTTGGCAGTATATTTTGATAAATACTGAGCTAGATTCATATCTCCTTAAGCGCTTGTATCCAAGTCATTGGGTTCTTATGCTCAAGGTTATATACAGGCTATTAAACTTTAATATCAGCTTCATTTGGCTACATGAACACTTATATCTGTTCTCAGTCTTAACTCATTATTTGTCAAGTGTTTTTACTACACTGCAACATATACTGGTACTATTAAATTCTATATTATTCAAACAGTGATTTATTGTGCTTTCTGCATTTGGGGGATGTCTAGTAAGTGTCGTTGTGGCTACCTTCAGCAGTATCTGGGAGACAAAAAAAAAGACATTTTATGTTGGCAATGTATTATATAGAAAATAGATAACGTGCTTGGAATGTGACAGGTAGATTATCCTTAGATAAAAACTAGCTTTATATGTTTCCTTTGTTTCTCATAATCAGTGAGTTTGCAGAAAAAGTAATACTGATTTATTGCTCTTCTCTTCTAGTAGTGCTTCAAGTTTTGAACTCCGTATTTTGGTTGAGCAATATATGTGTGAAAGTACACCCTTCTTTAGGTTGTACTTGATATTCTTTAAGTTTGGTGTATCTTTTTTATTGTTGTTGTTTGATGTATGAGAATGCCAGATCTAGGAATTAATGCTGTTACTGAACTGGGCTGTGAAACATAATTTGTCTTAATGGATTTTTATATCCATTATTTCAAATTCATTATGATTTATTTCACTGTGTTAGGTTGAAGAAAGCTAGTTGAGTTGAAAATACTCAAACAGCTATTCAATCCTGTGTTACCATGCTTGCTGAATTAAGAGCTTTCTAAGAAATATCTTTAAAAATCATTTTGTTTAGGCGCATACCATTAGATGCATCTTTTATGAGTCTAAAATACTTCTTTGATTACCAAACATCATTTTATGGAAGTTAATTTTATTAACCACAAGTTTAAAAGTTGATTATTTTTTCTCCCAAGTTACTACTTATTTTTACAACTACAATGTGAAAATGTTCTCTGCAGCCACATGGCTGAATGACTTTTGAGTTAGTGGGGAATAAGCAAAAGGAGAAGATAACTTTTTAGAACATCAAGTTTATGATTTAATGCATCTAGTTCTAGTAATAAAGCAGACAAAATGACAAAAATGTTGGAGAGCAAAAAGTTTAGAGGCTGTGCTATGGCACCAATTGTTGTTTAATGCCATCGAACTTTTATATCTGGCATAGTACTGTCTTTGAACTTACCGAGTTTTATATGGCTATGGCTTTGGCTTTTCCTGCCACAGCTTTGTGTGGGTCAATCTTTACACAGATAATGCGGCTGAGAAACTGAGTTGCTACAAGCTTTATTTGGTAAGGTTCTTTCTCTTGTCGCTTAGGATGCTAGTACTTACAATTTATGTGCATGTGTGTATGAGTGTGTGAGTATACCTTAAGAAGAAAAAAATCTCTTTGGAAAAAAGAGAAATATGTATAAAGCCAGTATTTAATTATTGTCTATTCTACTGTCATAAATTATCAGCTGGAATCTGTTTAAAAATGTGAAAGTGATTGCTTGTCATTTAAAAGTCACTCTTTTTATAGTTAATATTTTACATATAGTTACCGCTACTCTATATTTTTTAAGTTGCTAAGAGTACATTTCACATGTTCTCATTGCAAAAAATAAGATTAAGTAACTTTAAAATTATAAA